TGATCAGAGAGTGCACCAACAACCTGAGAGAACTCGCTAGGGGCAATGATGTTACCCTATGGTGGGTTCCAGGTCACAGCAACATTGAGGGCAATGAGAAGGCCGACAAGCTGGCCAAAGAGGCAGCAAACACGCCCTTCATTGGACCCCAACCTGGATGTGGACTACAAAAAAGCCACCTAAAACAAATAATCAACAACTGGGAGGCTTCAAAGATAGCCTTACGCTGGAAAGAACTTCCAGGTCACAGACAAGCGAAGAGTATGATAACTCCGTCGCAAAACAAAACCAAAGAGGTTTTATGCCTCAGCAAAGGGGATCTAAGAACGCTCTCAGGCTACCTAACCGGCCATGTGCCCCTAAAATACCACCTCTTCCACATTGGACAAGCTGAGGATCAAACTTGTCGACTATGCAACGACGAGTCAGAAACTGCTGAACATATACTGTGCAATTGCGTCGCCAGAGGACGTCTAAGGCACAACGTCTTCGGTAAAACTACCCTGTTACCTACCGACATAAAGGTTCAAGACCTTAGGACAATACTAAGGTTCATTAAGGACCTACATTTGCCCTAAACCTTTGGAGGGCTAAAGTTACAATAGATCTTATAGGTCGCGGTAACGAGAGGGGCCGCCCTCCTCAGCCCGGCAGCAATAATAATAAATAATAATGGTGCAGAAAATATAAATGACTGGAAAGATCTTCATAAGTCAGAGTTTTATGTTTTTTTAGCACTAAATTTACTAATGCCCAGAAACAAAAAATTATCTTTGCATGAGTATTGGTCAACTGATCCTCTAATAAATTCTCCTATTTTTGGACAATGCATGTCAAGAGATTACATTTTGGCAATCGATATATAGACATTTGCATTTCAGCAACAACAACGAAGCTTCAAAGCATGATCGTCTTTTCAAAATTAGAAATGTGTTAGAAAAAGTCAAAGAAAGATTTAAGAATGCAATGTATCCATTTGAGTCTCTTGTTATTGACGAAAGTTTGGTACTTTTCAAAGGACGCCTTGTATTTAAACAATACATAAAATCGAAGAGGCATCGTTTCGGAATCAAGTTGTATGTCTTGTGCGACTGCGAGACAGGCTACATTCTAGATTTTATTATTTATATTGGAAAGGAGACAGATATTGACACCGAAACTAATCCTCTTTTGGGAATTACAGGTGCAGTTGTAATTAAATTGTTGACGCCATACCTAGATAAAGGACATTCCCTCTATCTATACCGATAATTTCTACACGATCTTTGTTTCTGCTCAATAGAAAAACGAAGACCTGTGGAACAGTGCGACAAAATCGGAGAGGTATGCCAGATCTAAAGAAAAAATTGAATAAAGGGGAGACGGTATGGAAAAGCACTGAGAAATTATTAGCCTTGAAATGGAAGGACCGCAGGGATGTAACCATGCTTTTTACAATGCATGAAAACCAAATAGTTACTCTTCCTAAACTGGACCGTAAATCTGGAGATAATATAAAGAAGCCCTTGTGCGTGTTAGACTATAATGCACAAATTGGAGCTGTTGATCGATCGGATATGCTAATAAGCAGTATAGATTCTATGAGAAAAAACGTCAAATGGTACAAGAAATTGTTTTTTCATGTCTTGGACATTTGTTTACTAAATAGTCATGCATTATTTTTGACACAAAATGAGAAAAAGGTTCCGCTAGCTGTATTTCATAAGAATGTTATTCGTCAGTTATTAGAAAGGTAACAACAAAGATTTCTTGTATCATTTTTATCATTATAATAACCAATATTCTTATTCTTATCAGAGATAGCCTTCAGCGTAAAGTGCCACCTCGTGTTTGCCATAATTTGAAAAGGATTACAGACCGTCATTTTCCTTCATTGGTACCCAAAAATCAAAGCGAGCTTTACGGCGCTGTATGGTCTGTGCCAACACTACCACAGGAGTCAAAAAAAGAAAGGAATCTCGATACATGTGCAAAGAGTGTAATGTAGGTTTATGTATCGTACCTTGTTTCGAGAGATATCATACAACCACCAAATTTTGAGAGTTTTTGTGAAGTTCAGTCAGTCCAGTTTTCTGTATCCATTTTTATTACATTGATTATGAAAAAAGTGCCGTCTCGAAAGGGTTAAGACTTTGAAGAAAAATATTTTGCTAATTTTACTTGGTAATTCTACTACTACTAAGAATATATTTCTATTTAAGTTTTAGTACTCATCAATTTTTATTAAAAGAGTCTGCCTCTTTAGAGTATTATGCATGGCCCACAGCAAATTTTCTACTCGCAATACGGCACGCTGCCGTGGGGTGTTTTTAATATTCAGTAAGTGCATTAGGGACGCTTATTTTGGCGAAAGCACAATAGAGGGGTTTACCCGCTTACGTTGGTGCACCTTTTCCACCAGCTTCGCGGACGTATTAAATAGCAACCTAATGCAGAAACGCGCAGCAAATTGAATCGGCGACTGAAAGCGTGGGTCCGCGTATAAATTAAAGGGGATTGTTCTCTACTAGACCATAACGGTTTCCGACGCCAGAAATTTTGGCATAAATCAGTGAATTTTGCCAAGCAAGCGAATGCAGGTCAGGAATGATTTTGTTTTTAATCCTTTTTACAAAACCAACTCTCCTATTTACATACGTAAGTAAATCGAAATCAAACTAGATATTTTATACCTAATCGTATTTCAATTTCAACGAAAAAAGAGTTTTTTCGCTCTCTTTAATATACCCAAATGACTTACACCACGGTCAACAAAAGATGTAACAACAGACGTGGTTTACTTTTTACAATCCCGGGTAGCTTTATCGCACTTAATGGCATAACGAAATTAGCCCTGTTTCATAAAGGGGGTCCGCGTACGTCAGTTTTACGGTTTGAAGTGTCCATTAGGGCGTCCAAAATAGAATAATTTAGTAGTTATCTGCAGCTGGAAGCCAGCTCCCTTTATTAGCCGAAGGGATGACATTATCGCGGACGGTGAGTTAAAAGCTAAAATAAAACCAAACCGTTCTAATCTTTCTAAAGGATACTGTAAAATAATAATTGAGAACTGCTTTAATAACATCGAAATATTTAAACGACGACGGCGAAGTCGCGTAACGTTGATATATTAGCGCATTTAATGTTAAGTAACGGTCGAGATGGCGGTTTGCGGTGAAACTCACAGACGCAAACTGCCACAAAGTAGCTAATGTGAGATAGATTCGTATCTTTTGGGGGTAGTTGCTGGTAAACTTGGTACATAAATTCGTCGGGGACCTCCGCGACATCTTTATCTACTGGAACACTGCTAAATGACGTGGTTGGAACAGCGGCATACGGAACTCTGGCACATAAACAACTTTTACGGTTCAGGAAATTCACGACAAATTTAGTTTCTTGAATTACCTGCAATTTGATAAAGTTAATTTTGATTTATTTATTATTTACTAAGTTTATTATCACTCTACATATTCCCTACTCTCTTCGAAGCGGGAACTGAATGGTTAAGGGGATAGTCGTCGTGGCAGAGGCGTTTATTGTCTTGTGCGTTTTTCATAAAAATTCAATACTGCCAAGGGACGGATTCCATTATGGATACGACCGCATCCCGGAACTAAAAGAAGGCGGAAAGGTCGTCGTTCCGGGTGAGTCATGGAAATTCAGACACCGAATTCACACCGGTCACGTTATCCTCTTAAAGGAGCCGTTATAATAACAGTATTGAGGGACGAATAAAGGTGCCTCCCGTCCCGATGGCCACAGAATCCTCTAAGTGCATCGATACGATGTCATTTTGGGAATTTGATACTCAAAACTACCGCAAAGATAAAAAGATGTCTTTACGACTATTGATACAGAGAAAGAAAAGATAATGTTACAACAACCAAAAAAAATGTAAGATCGAAGACTTTTATGGCCAGTATTAATTGAAGTAAAGGGTTTGGAGGACTTAGTACCACACTTGGTGGAAATCTTCCAGGCATGCCTGGCGCTGCACTATATACCCAGTCGGTGGCGTGAGGTCACAGTGAACTTCATACCAAAACCGGGTAAGCTTGATTATTTCACACCGAAATCGTTTAGACCAATCAGTCTCTCCTCCTTTCTTTTGAAAACTCTGGANCGAATACAAGGTCCACAATGATGAGGACATTGACTCTGAGCAATTTCTCTTATTTTGGGAAGTGTACATCAAACATTTTTTTCAGGTGAATATATTTTGTGTTTTGACAGTTTCTAATAGTCAATTCAAAGTTTCTATTTTCAAGTGTTCCGGTGTTACCAACTGCTACATACCTATTTCCCTACATTGCCAAAATTTATTATATTTTTGTTAAAAAAATAAGATAAAAACGCGAATTACAAAAAATAGCATAAAAAACACGTTTCATAAGACTTAAAGCACTCATTCATTAAAAAACTCGTGACTTCGCCACTCGTTTTTCAACTTGAATTCGTGCATTTCAAGCGTGTCTTACGAAACTTGTTTTTTAATATACTATTACGTCCAGCTACGACAATCAAAGAATTTGATACTATTAATTGTTAATTTATTGTTATGAACAAATTATAAACACAAAATAATCAACATTTAATTGTTTTATCATTTCATTTCATGTTTAAATGCAAATTTATAATAGTACATTTGTTCAATATGTGAGGTTAAATTGATGTGACGTTAAGTTTTTGACATAACATTAAATGAATTCTAAATGTCATTATTCTGAATTTGGTCTTTTTATTAATTTATAACTTTAGAATATGCAGTTTTCGAAAAAATGTTGTTTGATACACGACAGCGAAATTCTTTTGCATTCGCTAGTGTCATTTCGCTATCTTGTATCAAAAATAACTATTGAAAGTCAACATATTTTTTTACGTACAATTAAAAAGTGTAATAAAATCTATAGCAATCCATTTAAAATAACGAAGTTATGGTCTACTTCCGGTTGACCGGGAGACCAGTTACGTGAGACACCCTGTATATTATTCGTTGAATTCTTTTTTGTGTTGGGTTAGTTTTAAATAAATATATTAAAAAGCAGCCGAGTTAAAATAAAAATCATTTAAAATTTTGCCGAGTCAAAAAAAAAACACCTTATAAAAGGGAGTAGAACGTTGGGAGCCCCAAAAACCGGGTAAAAATGCGTTAGAAACAAAAGCACGGAAATTACCCGGAATAAAATTTCATTTCGGTAAACATAATTTCTTCATTTGCTTCTGGTCCGACCGCCATTACCGCACGTCTGAGTTTAGTGCATATTGCGAACGAGTTTTTCATATTTCAACGAACGTCGGGTTTTCGCATTAAAACGGGTACGTCTGACCGACACTCGGTCTTTCACGGAATACACATTAAATGTATTCATTAAAATATGCATCCGGAACGGCGCGCCTGGCCGGGTTGGACTCACGAAAATGAAGATAATATTTTCCGGTACTTTTCACGCGTGCTCCATTTTTTATGGTTGCTTTATGCAGTTTCTACCCCTTATTCCATGCAACAAATAATGAACGTCATAGGCAAGGGCAATTTTTTTTCGTTTTAAAAAGTATTTTACAAAATAATTTGTTATTAACCCTTTCGAGACGGATGTCGGATATATCAGTTTTTCCATAATTTGACTCTCAAACTGGTGTCGGATATATCCGACTTGCTTCTATACTGCTTGTGAAACTGTTGTCTATAATATCCGACTGCGTCAAAACTTACTGTGGCCATAAAACCGCTGTCGGTTTATGCCGTCACAATTTACATGACACAGAAACTAATGTCGGTATAATCCGATCTAACGGAGATATTCGACAGTAACCGAGAGTGCAGGTGCGATGAATATGCGTTGCATATGTTTGTTTCAATTTCTTCAGTAATGTACAAAATGTCATCGGAAGACGATGCAGGCCAAAAAAATTGATACCCAATCCAACAACTGGTGTGGTTTAGGTGACAAAGAAGTTAGAGATATTCTAAAAGTTGTGGATAACCTCGACGACTGTTATCTAAGCGAAGACGAACCATTTATTGATAGCGGAAGTGAATATAATCCCGAATCATCGAGCGACAGTGAGCCTTTTGAGAGTGCTGATAGTGGTGACGATTACTTAGAAAATGCGAACGACACCACTGAAAATAATAACGAGAACGAAGAAGAGGCACAGCCGCTTCATGAGATCAATATACAGTGGACAGATAACGAATTTAAGCCTAAGAAACATGCGTTTATAAGTGATCAATGTGGTTTTTTGAGAAAAAAAAAGGATAAAAACGCGAATTACAAAAAATAGCATAAAAAACACCTCATAAGAC